CTCCCAGTCTGATCAGCATCCCTCTGCTAGCACGAGCGACCTGATCTCATTTGGGGGAAGTAAGGACGAGCTGCTTGATGACAGCCTGTCATTAACAGCATCGGACGCAGAGGAGCTGTTGGGCTCGGTGACTGACCCCGCCCCCTCGCCATCGTCCGCGCCCAGTGCCATCAAAGACGGGATGGATGCCGAGCTTCTCCGTATCCTCTCGAAAGCGGTCGAAGAGCTGGGTTTAGAGTGGTCTCCGCCAGACGAGCCGCCAAGCCCCTCGTCAGCGTTCCTCTCCGTTCTTCCCAGAGGTCCATGACGAGCTCACCAGATCGTGGCGCGCTCCCTACTCCGCCCGCCTTCGTGCTTCTACTTCATCCACCCTCACTTCCATCAACGGCGCTGAAGAGAAGGGGTACGATAAGCTGCCTCCCCTGGATGAGTCGGTGGTCGCGCATCTCTGCCCGCCCACGGCTATCGGTTGGAAAGCAAAGGTCGCTCACCCGTCCAAGCCGTGTAGGGCCACTTCAGCTCTCGCTGGACGCGCCTACACATCAGCTGGACAGGCGGCTTCGGCACTTCATTCAATGGCAGTCCTCCAGGTCTTCCAAGCCAAGATCCTCGCTTCCGCTGACGAATCTGGCTTGGACCCCGCAATCCTCAGGGAGCTGAGGAGCGCAACCGACCTGGCTCTGTGCGCCACCAAGACCACCACTCAGGCGATCGGGAGATCGCTGGCCAGCCTTATGGTGCTCGAGCGCCATTTGTGGCTGACGTTAACAGAGATCAAGGATGCGGATAAAGTCCCCTTCCTCGATGCTCCAGTCTCTCCCAAGGGTCTCTTCGGGAGGCACAGAAATCGTCCCAGGCTATGCGACATTTCCTGCCTAAAAGCTCCAGCTCTGCTGCTGCCTCTGCTCGCCCTAAGTCTGCGCCAACTCAGCAGCCTGCGAAGCCAGAATCTGCCGCACCCGCTGTTCAGCCCGCTAAGGTGCAGCAAATGCGGGGACGCTCTCGCTCGGCCAAACGCTACCCTCTTCCTAAGCGCCAGGGACCCCGACCCAAGATTGCGTTGGACCCGGCGCCTCAGGCTTCATCCTGATCTACGAAACAGGAAGAGGACGGGGCCAGATCTCGCTACGTCTGGACCGCCCCTCAAGCAGCCTCTCTTAGACCTCTTGACACCCCGTTCAACTCCGGGTGCAGAGGTAATTGTGTTTTGTGCAAACAACGGGTACGTTCATGCGCCCAAGCATTCAGCCGCTGTCATAGCGGGAAAAATAAAACACAAACATTTTCAAAAAGAGCAAAAAGCAAACTTCCTCTTCCATTACTCACAAGTGTTCTGCCCCCGTGCAGCCAGTCACTCGAGTTAATTCAACCCCTCGCCATGCGGGCCGAGGCCTGGCAGGCCATCCCCGGAGTGTTGAGATGGGTTATGGGGATAATAAAACGAGGATATTCACTTCAATTCGCTCGAAGACTCCCGCGCTTCAGCGGCGTGGTCCCCACCTTAGTGTAAAGCGAGGACGCTCACGTCCTGCGCTCAGAGGTGATGAATCTGCTGGCAAAAGGAGCTGTAGAAAAGGTTCCTCCAGCCCAGAGCGAGTCAGGCTTCTACAGCCATTACGTCCTCGTCCCCAAAAAAAGATCTCAGACACCTGAATCACGCCCTCATGAAAAGGTCGTTCAGGATGACTACACTGAAACAGATCCTTGTGCAAATTTTCTCAGGAGACTGGTTCTTTTCTCTGGACCTGAAGGATGCATACTTTCACATCCAGATAGCCCCCCGTCACAGGCGCATTCGAGGGAGTGGCTTATCAATATACGGTCCTTCCCTTCGGGCTGTCCCTGGCCCCCCACACTTTTACAAAGTGCATGGACAGATGAGACAGATGGGAATCCGCATTCTCAACTACCTTGAAGACTGGCTTGTTCTGGCCCAGTCAGAGGCAGAATTAATATCACACAGGACCCTCCTCCTCAGCCATCTGGAGTGCCTGGGACTCAGGGTCAACTTTGCCAAGAGCACGTTGTTCCCCAGCTAGCGAATATCATTCCTGGGAACAATTTCGACTCATCCCAAATGAGAGCTGTAGTCGCACTGGAACGGGCTCTGGCAATACGGAGGCTGGCGACCTCCTTCAAAATTGGTACCACTTGCCCTCTCAAAGC